AGAAGAAAAATTAAAAAAGAAAAGCAAAACAAAAGCAAAGATCAAAACATTTCTGGTCTCACAGAGGCTAAAGCACTAAACAAGATTCAAGAAAAATCAAGACCAAAGATCATATTTGCAACCCAGAAGACTGATTAACAGAAGTAATATATCAAATTAGCATTAAAGATGATTCACAATATAACAAGAAAATGTGAAAAAAGACAAAAAAAGATCTTTTGGCGAAGTGGATACATAGACAGAAGTCCTAATGGAACTTGAATATGAACCCACTGCTAAGTACAGTAACATCTAGACCATGGGTATCAAGAATTGGAAAAAGAAAAAGAAGAACACATTATTAGGAATACTAGAGAAGATCTTTGTAGAACATTTTAAAAATCAGAGGATCTTTAACGAAATACAAGAAAAATTCTTGGGAAGAAGACCAAGTTTCAGAAAGAAAAAGAAGAGTAAGAAGAACAAGAAAAAAAGAGAAGAAGATCTCTATACCTAGAATACGGAAGAACGAGAACTTGGGCAGACTGATCAAGACCTCAAAACAAAGAAACTGAAAGAAAACTTAAGGTACTTGAAAAAAAAGAGAAGAAAAAGAGAATATATAGAAGAGTATTCTCAAAAAAAACCGATAGATCAAGCCCTCAAGCAGAAGAAGAAAGGAAGTATGAAACTATAAACTAGAAAGGAAAAGTTATAGAAAAGATCAAGAGAAGACTCTCAAGACCCGAGTCACAAATTGGAAAAAACAGGGTAAACTGAAAGAAAAGGAAAAGAAAAAAGAAATATAATCACGAATAAGAAAATTTTGGCAATATCCCTGTGTTGGAAAAAGAAGTATTTTGGTTTATTCATAGAAAATTAGATTTAAAACTTTGTTCAAAAAAGGTGAATAGTTTAGAAAGGGAAAATTGCCAATGTAATGTAGTTAAAAATTCGATCGTTTTGAAACCGTCTTATGATAGTTTCCTAGGCTAGCTTGGTATAGCACTCCTGTATGAGCAATAGTCTTAACCGGTGAGGCAGACCGCACTTGAGTACCCTTAGGGCAGCTGAGTGATATCAGATCTTCAATTTAAATAGCTTAAATATACTTTGTGCATGCTTTGATTTAATAAAAGATACCAGCGAGGCTGCTGATATATGCAAAAAAAAAAAAAAATTTGTATAGTTATAAGGTATTATACAACTTAATAATTTAATCTACAAAGTATTATTATAATATAATTATAAGGAGTTTGCTAATTTCCACCACAGGTGATAATCATCTATGTTTATATATTATTTAATATAATATAACACAGTCAAAAAATAGATTAATACCGTAGCATATAATAATCTAGTATAATGTAAGCAATGTTTGAGTTAAACTTGACCTAGATAAATTAATCAATTAAAAAATCTGGCTAGCTTCAACATAATTCTGACCTGCACTAACACTAAAATTCTGTAAGAGGCATTTTGACTCAGGTCAAATTTAATTCAACCTAAAAACCAATTTGACTCGTTATATATACACTGATAACCAACTCTAATCCTGTAATCTAATTATTACCAACTCTATCATAAAGCACTACATATCATTAATCTTTATAGTAATACTAGAGAATGCAACATGCGAGTGCAAATAAACAAATTGTCATGTGTCTAATTCAAAGAAAACAAAAAACAAATGATAATAAAATTTGTCTCGTGCATATCTAATTAAAAATATCAAATTGAAAGTTTTTATAAAGGGTCGATTACCTAACTCAAAGCTCTGGGTTTGTATTATGCAGAATATTTCACACAAAAAGAGACGAACATAAATATTACTTACTCTTGATGTTCGATTATCTTAAACTGAAATTAATTAGCTATATATTATATATTGTTATCAATACTGTATAATAATAGCTTTTATGATTAAAATGATGTCTCAATAGCTAGATAAGCAATATTGGCCAATAACCTTAATGACTTTATGATCTGTTATAAGCCATTTTGTCATAACAAAGATTGATATGACTTAATATAATAATGAAGATTGATATTATAGTGAAGTTCTTTATTAGCATTTGATATGACCTATATCAAAGAATCATAGCCAAGATTATATCAAAAAAATAACATGACTTAGGTTATTGACCAATGCTGTAGATAAATAATTTAACAAAAAGTAATGATATCTTAACATTACTAAACAATTTCAGCTTATATGATTATTTATGCAGCAAAGTTCAAATTGATTGCTATTCAGAATAAATATCTATTGTATCTACTTAATTTTACTATGTACGTACTTAATATTTAATTGAGCAAACAACATATATACAAATAATATATATTATATTGCTTAAATTTGATAATATCGATATATAATTAATAGTGCTTTGCGTTCATTATAACTTTGTTATATAACAATTTTCTAGAGTTAGCTTTCTTATATTTTGACAAATAAATAGTTATATTGCTACAATTTTTCATCCAATCTATTTTCTTATCCTTCATTAATATAACAAATTATATTATAAGAATGGTCTTGCTTATATATCTGCAATTTTATACAAATAGCTTATTAAATATGAGTTATTTAGTTTTTAAAACTAAATAAAATTTAACTTATATGAATCCTTCCTATATTGAACAAGTCCTAATATTATGCCCATAATCACCACAATTAGTACACTTGTTTTTCTTTTTCAGGTTGTTCATTATCATTTAGTATCAATTTGAAGTTTTGTAAATTTCGAGAATTGGTAATATTTTCGAATACACTTCTGTATCGTTTAGGTGGCCTGTCAATGGCATTTAGTCACAAATAGATTTGCAACAACAATTTGTTTAACCTGATTTTCATTATTTTCACTTTCTTCCTCTTTAACAACTTGTCGCTATTTAATCTATCTCTATAGACTTCTTTCTCTTCCAAAAGTTGCAGCTCACGTATTTTTGATAAAACAAATCTTTCTATCATTTAAAAAAACTCATTATCACAATTGAGGCATATCATTAAATTCAATGCTTTCTTGAATATTCTGTATCTCTTAGACCAATAGCTCTTTTTACTAACAGACTTTTTTAAAACAGAAGTGAACACATTATCAATACAAAATTGAGCTAGGTGCCTAAAATTAATCATATGATCACTATTTTCAGATGGTGAATTTTGGTTAGATTCACATAATCTAATAGACAGGAGTGAAGCAATAAGATTACTATTGTCACACATATTACTTTTGTACCATCTGCTTGATATCAAAGTAATATGAAATTTAGCTAAGAGTAATTTTGTGAGGACTTTAAAAAATGATGGCAGACAATTCCTTTGTTGATCAAAGTTAAACAAGTACATAAATATATACCATCTACAAGTAATACAACATAATTACTAAAACAACTTAGAAATGATTCCTGTGGAGATACGACCCAGATCTGTATAATGACTTCATGATTTAAGTTTTGCAAAAGTGATTTAAGGCCTATTTGATGACGCTCATAATTATATTCAATACATCCATCCTCAATAATATTTTTTGGTTCTGGGAAATTTTTATTCTAATCAAAAGACAATTCCGTAGCATTATAAAGGAAACTTTCAGTAAGTTGTTGCCTTTGAAGAGAAAGAATATACAAAGTTAAATACTCCTGAATCAAGAAATTGATAGTAGGAAAATATTTACTCGCAAAATGAGGCAAACCAATGGTAGGGTTTGTATTTTTTGCTCATTAATACGTGTATAATTTGCTTCCTCATCTAACTGATTTTGTATTGCTTCAACCAAATTTAATAATGTTGTACTATGTGAGACTTCTTTTTTAATAATTGCATTTATACCTTCTACCTATTGAGTGCTTTGGATACCAGCAGTAAAACATAGTTGTATATAACAAATTGCCCAACTTTGACATGTGGGGTAAAGAGTTTTAAGCACATATCATGTTGCTTTAAGAATTGGTTGAAGGAATTTAAGAAATCGTGCCTAACGACGCTCAAAATCAACCTCAAACAAGCTATTCCGAGAATGATAAAAAGTTTATAGAATTCGTCAAAATTTTTACCTATGATACCTTTCATTTTCTTAATAAAATTACTATTCATATATAATATGCAATGGGAATGATGTATATTTGGCTATATGTTTTGTAAAGCTGCACCCATAGCCAGGTCAGCATCTGAATAAATGGTCTTAAGAATGATTCTATTAGTTGCATTATTTAGTTGTTCTAAAACCTACTCAAAAGAACCTTGTGTTTCATCCTCTAATAGTGTCTGCACAACAATATGTAAATGAGTATAATTGTCAATAACTATAAAAAGGCATAAAGCCATTTCATACTGATTTGTTTTACAAGTATTGTCAGTCATTACTATATCATGAAATTGGGCCCATAATGAAACTTGTAGCAGAGATATCCAAAAAAGAGCTGTCAACCTATTTTTTTTGCTCTGAATATTGGTTATAACTACCCAATTAGAATCCTCTACCTTTAAAGCCATTAATCTTTTCAAAGTTTTGCTGTATTAGTTTTTAAACTCTCTCAAGAAAGTTGCCAAAATTGTTGAATAGTATTATACATATCTTTTTTGTTAATGTAGTTACTAGGATATTTAGCTTTCAAAAGATTGTACTATAAAGTAGCACCAATACCTTCTGTAGAACAGATATAAAATTCTATGTCTCAAAACATCTCCTTTGTCAATTTACGAAAATGTGGTGCTGTTTGGTCAACTAAGGGTTTAATATATAGTTGTATCTATTATCAAAAGAAGTACAAACAATCTCAGAGGTTTTCTTGCAATTGTTAAAATTAATATACTATGGATAGCTTACTGCTGCAGATGCCTGTTTATATTGCTTATTAGTATCAACCTTCTTTTTGGCCTTATGTGCATGTAAATATATGCATTAATAACTTCGATGATGAATACTAGAATGGTCTAAATAACAATCAGTTCTATTTTTATAAAAAGAGAACCCATTACACTTTCTATATGTTATTATTAATCTGTCTACGTCTTCTCATGAATTGAGTGTAAGACCATATAATTGTGAGGAACCTTCATTTGGTTCTTCATCACTGAGAGAGTTCTGTGAACTATCGGAATAAAGTCAATATCACAAAACAACAAAACATATAGATACTAAGTCAAATAAATAAAATGACTCTATTTTATTTTCTAAGCTAAATGCTTGGCTATCATAATTCTCTAGTAACAAATCAATTTCTTTTTCTGAACCAATTGCCTGACGGTTGTGAATTTCTAAAAAATCAACAGTTTCATGTTTCAAACTAGATATTCAAAGGTTGCAAACAGAATATTAAAAATCATGATTATTAACCACATTCAAATTTTGATAACTAAATAACCTAACGCAAAACTAACCTTCTGAAATCTTGATTTAGCTTATGCTTATTTGAAATCTCAAGCTCAAGATTACTTGGTAAATCTTGATTTAGCTCATACTCATTTGAAATCTCAAGCTCAAGATCACTTGGTAAATCTTGATCCAGCTTATTTGAAACCTCAAGCTCAAGATCACTTGGTAAATCTTGATCCAGCTTACGCTTATTTGAAACCTCAAGCTCAAGATTACTTGGTAATTATTAATAAACAAACTAGTTAGAAAATTAACACACACTAATTTAACTAACATATAGTATAAAGCTGCTTTACTAACCTAAAATTTTGTATAAAACAATTAAATAATATCAACAAGCAGTAAAATGATTCAAAGTTATAGTTTCGCTCAAGGTTATTTGAAACTTCAAGATTACTTTGTGATTATTAAAAAACAAGCCAGTTAGAAAATTAACACATATTACTTTAACTTACACGTAGTATTTAGCTACTTTACTAATCTTCTGAAATTTTGTACAGAAGTATTAAATAACATTGGCATGTGATAAAATGATCCAAAGTTATAGTTCTGTTCACAATTATTTAAAACTTCAAGACCACTTGATAATAATTAATAAGTCAAACTAGTTAGAAAATTAATGTATACTACTCTAATACATAGTACTTAGCTGCTTTACTAACCTGCTAAAATTTTGTATATAATTAAGCGACGGTAATATGTGGTAAAATAATCCAAAGTTATTATTTCGTTCATGATCATTTAAACCCTCAAAATTACTTGATTATTAATAAGTATGTGGTTAGAAAATTAACATAACTATTTTAACGTAATAGTAGTACTAAGTCACTTTATTAACTTGAAATTTTGTATAGAATAACTAAATAACATCGATTCATAGTAAGGCCCAGAATTATAGTTTTCTATTTGCACTTGCTTTACTTTACGTCTTGCTTTTTTTTAGATTTTACAAAATAAAAAACCCGATTATTGTTTGATCATAACCCTTTATTTATTTACTAATTGGGCAAACAATATACATATGTACATATATATATTTTTAAACCCAGAACTGACTATCTGAGTTCTATTCGTGCATTACACAATTAATATTACCATTATATACATATTAATCTAATATGAAATATCTCTATATAACTTATAGGTGATTATCACCTGTTGTAGAAATTAGATATTTTCTAATTATAATATTATTTTAATATATTAAATTGT